TATTTGCTTAAGCTATTTAAATTTTGTATTATTTAGGTTTATTATTACTAGAATAAGAAGAAATAACAGATGACTGCTTGCTGACAGCGGTTCTATATTTTAAAATATTTTTCCGAGGTATTTTATAGTCGCATTTGCCATGGTTTTTTTTTGGTTTTTGGGTTGTTTTTCTTTTATTTTCTGGCCGCGCTTGATTGATTTAGAGATCGGCACTGACCCGCAGCAACAGGACATCCATCCCGCGGAAAAAGGAAGGAAATAACCACCACCAAAGGCACATCATACTAGATCCAGCACCACCATCTAGTTTTCAGGGTTCCTCCGTTTTGGTGTCTTGGCAATTCAGCACTTTCGTATTTCTGTATTATCGGGTGCACCTGCCTGCCCGCTGGCCAAGAAGCCTTTGGTACGGGCCATCAACTGGCAAGTCGCATAATGGAATTCCGAGCGGCATGCGATCGACACTCACCCTCGATCCCCCTTCTAAAAAAAAAAAAACCCCCATTCCCTTCCTTTGAAACCACCGTCCCTGGGTTATTTCCCTCAACCGGGTGCACAGTGCGATCTTGTCCGTTGATCTTTTTGGTGCATTGGCTAAGTTAATTGGTTGTAAAACAATTTTTCGAATTAACATAAAAATGTTTCATTGGAAAAAATATTTATATGTATGTCTGCCCGCGACTCGTCGAGTGCAATTAACATTGGGTCTTCGGTTGGAATCGCTTCGTTTGCGGTTCCGATCGCGCCCGCATATTATCAGAGCACTCAGGAAACTTTATAGAGAGGGTCTTTCAGTAGTGGGAGTTGGAGTTTGAGTTTGAGTTCGTTCAGGGTATGTCGGAAATGTTGATAAATGAATGATATATGATTAGCGGGATGAGAGCAGAGAGAGCGTTTGACAGGATGGCTAAATTGTTACAGATTATTCATCTTATTTTCAAAAATTGCATAGTAAACCATGCAATGACATTTTTAAACATTTATAAAAGTATTCAAAAATCGTTTGTTAAAAATCGGTTTTTCTATCAAAATTAAATTTGTTATTTCTAAAATAATTGTGGGTAGTATAGGTCGCTAGCTATACAAAACAGTCACTCTTATGGTCATACGTCTAGTTTTGGCCAAGTTACAAAAAAAGGAATCTGTAGGATTTTTTTGTTTCAAATTTGAAAAAAAAACACCTAAAACGGACGCTTTTATATCAAAACATTGTGAATTAATGGTCAGATGATGGAATGTCATTCATCGGTGAATTCGTCATTAAATTGCCAATCAAATGGCATTCCCAGTTAAAATTGTTTCAGTTTTTCTAATTTTATGAAAAAAAATTATCAAAAAATTCAAAAATCTTTCAAAAAATTAAGAAATGTGTGTGCGTAGAAAACATATATGTTTTTAGTTACTTATGTTTTGCGATGGAATTTCTTTACATGATCGAATAACTTTCGAGTGGAATTAAATACAAACTGAATTCGAAAATGCAGATCTATTATTATTCGGGGCAGAACGAGCACAACAGAGAAGTCGCTCAACCATTAATTTCACCAAAGTTCGTCATCGTCATCGGAACTGCAGTCGTCATTGTCATTGGCAGCGCTAATGTGCGATGTGTGATATGCAATGTACCGCGACTGACGAACTGTGGATGGGACAAGAAAGCCAACACCGAGTGCCCAACTAGTCGCCATACAATTGAATTGTTTCGGCTCTCCGGTTGACTCTTTTCGTACACCCCCTTCCACAAAACCCCTCCAAAAATCCCCTGGAAGTACCCCTCATTCCACCCCCACCAGTAGCACCCGCAAGACCATTCAACCATGGGCAGGCCACAAATGCAAATTGAATGAAATGGGAAATGGAAATGCCACGAATACAAGTGTGAGTTCGCGTATGTGTGCACTCAAAGAAAATGGGATTTCCAAAAAAAAAAAAAATATGCTATAATACATTTTCTAGGTCAATTTACTTCGCTAGCTCAAAGTCTGTATATTTGCAAATTAAGAACAACAAACTCTAAAGCCGAAACTTACAATAAATTAGTAAAGTCTCTTAATTTTTAATTATTAAATGATTACTCAGACTACTAACGCTACAAAAAGTAAGACAATATAATTCCGCGATAAGAAATGGTAATGGTAACTATGACTTAAGGTCTCTTAACTTACATTTTTTTAAGATTTTAAGAACTTAAGAAAATTAAAAAACTTAAACGTACTATGGTAATGTACTTTCATCAAAGTTTAAAACCTTTAAACTGGGTTGAGTTATATAGGATTGAGAGTAGCTTATTTTTTTACAGTGCAAATGAAACCCGCGCAAATAAAGACAATGGGAAGGCGACTTTTATTGGTTCCATTCGATGATCAGAGCGCGGCTTCAAAGGCCGTCAGTTGTGGCGTACTTAGTGACACCATTAACGCCAGTAGTTCCCGTTTGCGTTCCCCTCACCCTCCCCCTCCCCCCTTAACCCTGTGCAGACCCCTTAACCCCCTCAGTAGCAACTGCTGCTGGGCTACCAACACATCCACATCCGGCGTGCGCGCATGCGCAGCCCGTCTGTTTGATTGATTTTGTTCCAATGCAAGGGTCGCCGCTTTTCTGGCCTTTCTCTCCGCTCGACGCCGGGTTTTATTCGTTTTATTGTTGGTTGTTGCTTGTTGCTTGTTGGTTTGGGCCTGGGCCTGGGCCGCCTGAAATGTTGAATGTTTATTGCAATCGGTGTGAAATTTCACACCGCAATGCTTAAATGATTCCCGGTCGCAAGTCGCTTCCTCTTCTTCTTTTTCCCCGCCTTCTCTGTTATTTTCGTTTTTTTTTATTTTTGTATTTTTTTTTTTTGGCCCGCAAACGGTAGAGCAAATAAGACGCAACTGGGCTGAAAGTACGAAAGGTTATAGGCTTTAAAAAGGGGAAGGAGGATGTTATATAACAGATCATATACAAAACTATGGTCACAAATCTACACAATACAAAAAAAATGAACTTGGGTATCGATTATTGAATAAAATATTGAAATATCTTTACTGTGACATGTTAATGAAATTAATTTTCCATGTCGTTTTTATTTTGTTAAGTATCATAGCGCCACTTTCAAATTCTTATCCAAAAGTTTGTTAAATATTTTCAGTTTTCCGATGGCTTGCAGAAAGGTGACCCTCAAGTTCACTTCTGGAACTTACAACTTTGCCCATTTAATACCGAATTCAATTTTTTGTTTAGCTATCTAATAATCTGCATAAAATGTGTATATCTTATTTTACGAAAGATTTATTATACGTAATCTTCTCGCTGCCGAATTATAGTAGTCAATAAGCTGTAATCCACATTTAACATTCAATGACACAACTATTTCAAGACAAATGCGATCTTTTATTATAGGACTTTTCAGATATCTGCCTTAAAACGCCCTTTAAATTCCACATATACCCACAAAAATAGACTTCAATTGGCGTTAGGATACAGCGGGTTGCTTTTGCTCTTCGCAGTGGCTTGTCTTTCGCTTTCCTTTTCCAAAACTGCAACTTCAACACCCGCGAGCAACAAGTGTGTGTTGTTTGCCCACTCGTTTTTCCCTCAACAAAGTTGGCCCTTACGATAGGTTCTGGGTTCACTGTAATTGCAAGCCCTTCAAGTGCCGAAACCCCTGCTTTTCCCCAGCACCCCTGTAAATGCAACTGCAACTGCAACTGCAACAATTGGCGTCACGCTTCGCTGGCCGTTTGCATAGAGAGAATACAGGACAGAGAACCGAGAACCGAGAACTGAGAACTGAGAACTGGGAGTAGTAGGAACCCCATATAGGGCTGGCTGATTGAAAGATTATTTTGCACTGATAACGCTAAAAACGTATGGATGGATGGCCCAACAACGAGCGACCGACCGACAGACAGGCAGACGGACAACGGACAACGGACAGCGGACAACCAACCAACAACCGAACGAACAACCAAACCAACCACCAAACAAACAAACAACAAAAGTCAAATAGAGCGAGGCAAGAGCTGTTCGAAAATTGTTGCGCTTTGGGTTTGCGTGTTTGCATTTTAGCATTTTTGCATTCATTGTCTGCGGTGGTCGCCATCATCATCGTAGTCGTCATCAATTCGCAATGCATTTCCCACATTTTCAGGCCCAGCCAGACCAGCGACCATCATCATTAATAATATTGAAAAGCCCTAATTACGGTTAAGTGGCCCAAACGAGGCAAACGAAATAAAAAAAACACACACACACACACGCAAATACAACTAAAAAGGTAAGGAGATCGGAGCACGGAGAACGTAGAAAAGAGGGGCTTCTGTATCGAACTTTGCAAAGGGTTCGGTTCAGTTTTTGGGTTCGCTACCCCCATTGGCGTTACTGAAGCGGATCACCATCACCATCGTCATCGTCATCGTCAGCGTCATCATCATCAGAAGTGAGTGTCTCGCTCATTGCGTAAATCATTTTTCCCACCCCTAAATGAGAGGTCCTCTTCACCTGCCCAAGGTGCACCACAAATTGCAGGTGCATCGGCCTTCGTTTGCGTTCCTGACCTACGACGACCCTCGATTCTCTCGCCTTAATGAAATCATTTATAATTTTTCTTCTCCCCCCCCGTCCCTCGCCCTTCATGTTGTCTCTTGCGGTCAGGTTGGATGGTTTTCTTGAGGTACTCAGAGGTACTTCTACCTTTGCGAGGACCAGCTCACTTCCCCGTCGATTCTATAGTGTTTTCCTCCTCCTGACGCTTGATTGCCCATTTCGTGCCCATTGATAGGGGATATTCTCAGGGGGACTCAGCACGTGGCTACACTACTGGTGGGGCACCTGCTCCGCAGCGGACTCAGCGGGTTCAGCTGCCCAAGGATCACTCCTAACGATTGTAAGCAAAAGCAAACCCCCTCCCCTCAGTAGTCGTTGAACTATCCAACAGTTGAGCCTTGTAATACCAAGTGATACACATATTTTCCAAGTGCTTTCAGCAAATCTTTCATTTTTACAGTACACTTCAAAGCCCAAAGATACCGGATAGACAGCTAAACAAAAAAAAAAAAAAAAAAAAAATTAACATTTTGAAAGCCAAATTACGAAACACACACAGAGCAGAGGAGTCTTTCGGTCTAAGCATAAATTAATTGTTCTCGTTGGTGCATTAACCACATTATACATTATTGACATTTGCCGAAGGCAACGAAGGAATGCAGACGAAAATCTGGGACTCGCCGCAGGTGGGTGGTTCCGGTGGTGCCCTCAAGGCCTTGACCCGCAATGTGGCCAACCACCTGAAGCTTAACCGGACCAGCATGAAGCGCGTGGTGGCCCAGGTGGTGGCGGAACATCATACCCTCGGCGAGGTGGCCGACTACAAGGGCCACATGTACTTTGCCAAGCCGGATCGCTTGAATTTCAATGAGCTGATTACCCAGTCGAAGGAGGCCTTCGATGATTTCCTCCTCCACGAACCGCGTTCATCCCGCAAGCGAACATTCAAGCCACGAGCCACCAAGATCCGCATGCAGAAGAAGGTCTCACCACCGCAAATGACAACCCCACCGAAGAAAGGTACGCTTGCCAAGAGGTCTGCTCCTCCGATGCGAAAAGGTTCGCGCCGTAGGAAAAGCTCCACCACAATTTTCCAACTGGCAGCTAATGCAGGACGTCGCAGTCTAAACGGCGTCATCATCGACGACACGCACTTGAAGCCCGATGAGAAACGTCGCGAGATCCTGTTGCACGTTCCACCGGTGGCGTTAAAGCGTTCCCGCAGGCGTCTCCATCGAGCTGCCGCTGGGAAGGGCGGTAAACTGCAGCAGCAGCAGCAGCAGCAGCAGCAACAGCAGCCCAAGCAGGAACCGGCTGCCAAGAAGGTGATTCCCAACCAGAAAAAGAACCCGCAGGAGGAGAATGTCGCGCAGGTGAAGAAGCAACAGATGCCACCGAAGATGCAGAAACAAAAGCAAGTGCAGAAGAACGCCCAGAATCCAAAGCAAAATGATCACTCCAACAATTGCTCAACCAATCGTTTACCTAATCCCTCCCCATTGAGGTCACCAACCTCTGGATTGGGGTCACCAACGGGCAAACCAGCCCCTCGCGCCATATCAGCAGCTCGTTCCGTGGCCTCAATTCAAAGAAGGCAGTCTGCGCAAACCATTGGATCTGAAAGGCAGATTGCCTTCGGTACCCTCTTCTATCGCAGTTCAAGGACCAAGGTCAGGCGCAAGCCTAAAACGCTCCAGAAGGAACAACCTGTGGTGCATAGGAACTACGATAAACCCTGGCTGGTGGGGCGTTCCAAAAGGAGACTGGTTGGAGGATATCAAATAAAAAAAAAGATCTTGCCTGCTGCAAAGCCGCAGAGTCTGGATGAAAAAGAATTGGATTTGGAGGAAAAGATGCCCGGAAGCGGAGGGCAGTCGAACTCAGTCCATTTGAAGAGCCGCAAGAGGACCACACACGTGATGCGTCAAATGCGCAATGTGAACTTACCCTGGTATACGCCGTATCAATTCCAAGGCGGTGCCGGAGCCACCCAGACACCAAGTCCGGATGTGGGCATACCACCCCATCGCCTGCTGAAGGCAAAGACCCACAAGCTCCTGCGCCGACTGACGGCTGTTCAGCCGCAACTGCAGCAGCAGCCACTTGCGATGACCCAAATGCGACGTGGTTCGAATTTCACCAAACGCCAGCGACACGATCGCAGCGAGCAGGAGCGTTTGATGAGGGAACTGCAACGCGAGGAGGCCATCGACGACCCGTTGTCCCATGGATCGGGCCTATTTCGAGGTGCCCGCCGGCAGATGTCCAAGAAGCAACAGCAGGATCACCGTTCTGTGGAGCGCGTGAGCTCGCGGACAAAGCGTTTGTCCAACGACAGGCGCCAACGACGCCAGCCCATGGCCACCAGCGAGCGGATTGTGAACCCGCCGCCGACGCAGACGCCGACGCCGCCGCCGCCGCCGCCGAAGCAAAGTCCTCCAAATTCGAGTGGCCAAGTCGCCCAGCCGAGGCGAAGGAACCGCTCCATACCCGTGGACAGCAGCCTGGGCAGCATTGCCCTGTTGGGTTTGCCGCCATCGCCATCGAACGACCAACGGACTCCCGCCAAGTGCCATCTCACCATTGCCTTCAGGAGCAAGGGATCGAAGCGTGCCAAGCCAATCAATCAGCCCTGGAAATAGGACATCTGTGCTCCTCGATTTTGATCAGTCATTTTTTGGCTGTCACTTTTCCAACGCTGATGGACGCTGGTTACCCATCTATCCGGTTTGCTTTTTCGTTAAATCTAAATAAATGAACAAGTTGGCATTCCCAATTGGATGGCAAAGTTTCCACATTAAATATTCTTTATAAAAATTTGGTTTTTATTAATCTATACTGGATGTTCTTAGGGAAAATTAAAGGAGCCTTTAGAAGGTTGATCCAATGATATTTATTTATTTATTGATAGGTAATTTGACAAGTAGCCTAAGCAAATCCAGACATTTTTTTTACCTTACTCTGAACTTGCTTAAAGGGCATACAACTTTTACAATAATTAAATTAACAATTAAATTATGAAAACTTGGTTTTTGTCACTCAGTTCTGTAGGTTCTTGAGAAATAGAATCTAAAGATATTTTTATTTATTTTGTGTTATATTTTTATCTTTATTGTCAGGCTTTAAAAACCCTTCTTTTGCCACTTTACTTTGAACTTTGAACAAAAGGTACTATGAAAAACCTTGTATTTGCTTTTCACTGAAGATTCCTAAGGAGATATAACAAAAAAATATGCATAGTTGATTCTATATGCTTTGTTATTTATTAATTGATAATTTGATTATTTGCTGAAAATAAAACCGGCTTTTATTACTTTGTACTGGACTTTCTGGCCTTTATAAATATTCATAACATTTTCTCCACATTAAATATGCTTTATAAAAATCTGGACTTAGTTACTCTATACTAGAAGATAACATAAATTATTTATTGATTATAAATTTGAAAATTCAGTTTAAAAAATCCCACTTTAACCACTTTAAATGTAATTTCTTAAATCCATCAAAAGTAATCGGTGAAGACACCCAACACATGTTGCCATACAGGTGGCTTTCGGATGAAATCGAGTCCGAACCTAAAGGGATTCGAACTTCTGCGACAAGGTCAGCAATCAGAATCCTTAAGCTGGCGCTTAACCCCGTGTCAAATGACTTTAACTCGGGGCTCTGCTGTCTTGCCAATATCAATACACTCCTTGGCTTTAACCCATATCTGGCCCTCCCCCCGAAAACGATTCATGCATTCAAGACAAAACAGCGCCAAATTCCATGGGGAGTCAGAAGTCAGGCAGTCGATGAGCTCACAACAGCGAACTGACAACCCAAAAAAAAAAAAAAAAGTATGGAAAAAAAAAGGAGGAAATAATACAAGTGAAGGCTGAGGAACAGAACAACAAGGCCATAATTTAAGTCGCTAAAGTTTTGCGCCTTTTGTTCGCCGCTTTCCGCACAAAAGTTATTGAAAATCGCGCAAGGGTTGAGTTGAGTTGAGGTCTTCGTTTTTCGTTTTTCGCTTTTTTGGCTTTTTTGGCGCGGTCGAAAGGGTTCGAAATTGAAAAAGAAAGCAGCGAATGTCAGGTGGTTGGTTGGATGGTTGGGTGGCTCATTGGCCGTTGGTGTGGGTGATTTAGTGTTAAATAAAAACTTTTAAATTGCCATTTGATCGTTTGTTTAGCGACAATAATGTCGTCGTTGGCAGTCTCTTTTTCTGCCTTCAATTGAATGCGCCCAGGGTCCTGTGACAGGTTTATAGGTCGCTTCCTTCGCGACATTCGTATTCCTGTATTCCTATATTCCTGTATATTCGTATTCCGAAAAAAGGGGTGAGATGACGAGGTGATGTCCTGGAGGAGGTGGGAATGGAAATGGAAATGGAAATGGAAAAGACCATGCCAAAGGACCTCGGCGAGGGCGTCGTGACAATGACATTGTTTCGCTGACAGTTGTAGCAAATTTATTGAAAAGGTGTTCCCTGGCATTTGTCTCGTTTTGTTTCGTTTCGTTTCGTTACGTTACGTTTGTACACATTCTTTTTTTTATATATATATTTTTTTCCCATTTTCTATGTCTTAGGGAATTGTCAAAAATTTATTGATATGTTGAAATTGCTTCTTGGTCTGCCATAAAAACTTTGACAGCTTCACTGTTTTTTTTTTTTTTGTTCTCCTTTCTGTACGCTCATTGTAGTAAATTTGACAGCAATTGTTTTGTTTGACAGTTTGTCGTCTCCGGCAAAATGATGATGTCAATATGCAAAGCAGTTTTGCGGAATGGCGAGGGTGGTGCTGATGCCAAAGAACCCAATCGAGGGTTCTTGGCTCGAGAATGAATGCATGTTTAAGCGACTGAATGAATGGATATGAATGGGTTATTGGTGAGTTGACAGCAGCCGTTGACAGCTTGCCGAATGTTTTAGCATGAAAACAGATTTCTTTGATACGTTTGCTTATATTCAGCAAGGTAAAAATAAGTAAATAATCAGTTTTTAATGTTTTAAAATTAATTAAGAATTACAAATAATAAAAAAACTGAAAACTGAACTGAACTGGAGAGAAATAAACCACATTCCATGGCATTTAGAAGAGTTCAAAGCTTCGCCATCTCTTTTATCATTCCAAGTGAACTTTACACTTTTGTCATTGAGGTTTCAAATTTCCTTGATTCTTAGATGTGAGTTTTTTAGTAGGAAACATTTGGTAAACATTATGAAAATGTCAGGAAAAAAACCCCGCATGTCTGCACAATTTTGCAACAAATTAAAGTTAAAAAAGAAGGCAATAAAACATAAAACATTTAAGAAATAGAAAATATAGAATAGAAACATGGCATTTAGTTAAGTTCATAGCTCCGGCATCTCCTCCCTAATTCCCACTGAACTTTACACTTTTGCCATTGAACTTTGGCTGGCCAAGACTACTGTCCAATTTGCTTCCCAATTCAAAATTCAAGCACTACAGTAAAGCCACCATTATTCCCCGCCATTTCCACAATATTTATGTATGAGCAAAGCACACACATATTCACCAGAGTGGGAGAGGAATATTTTTTATGAGACTGTTTCGTTTTTCGCTTAATCGCACTAGAAAATCTTTAGAAATGGCTGAGGGAGATGGGTAAGATGGTTAAAAACAAAAACAAAAACAAAAAAAATAAAAAAACCCGCGAGCGTTCAACTTGAAAATATGCCAAAAGACAATTGGTTGTCGGGTGGTTTGGTTGTTTGGTGGTTTGGTTGTTTGGTTGTTTGCTTGTTTGGAACGCTAAGGGCACGGCCCAGTCTTCGGTCTTCCGATCCCCCCGTCTCGCCAATCTCCAATCGCCAATCTCCACTCTCCAGTCTTTGGTCGCCAGTCTTCTTCCGACTCTTGTCTTAGTCGCAGTCTTAAGTTTTCTTCAATGTTTAGCCAAGCGTGAATATTGTTAGAGAGCCCAAAGGGGCGGGAGGGACAAAGGGTGGGCAGGCATTTATTAATAATTACCACACCGAGTGGGAAGGAGCGAGAGCGAGGTACTATACATGGTTGGAAATTTATTTGTTATTTATCTTTTTGGCATTATGCATGAATGGCAATAAAAAGTATACACACACATAGCCTTAGTCGTAGTTTTTTTTTTATTCTCGCTGCCTGGCATAAATAGTTAACCAGAAATGCGGCAGCAGCAGCAAAAGACAGAGTATCATAAAAAAATTATAACAATCCATTCAGGTTGTTCTCAGGTGTACCACCATCACCATTACCATCATCGTCCCTCTCTGGGAGTTCAGTCAATAGATTTAGATCACTTTGCAATGCCAGAAGCGAGGGGACAGGCGGTGGAGGTGGAAATGGAAATGGAAATGGAAATGGAAAAGACGCGGACCCGGCACAAAGAGTCATAAAAATAATGAGCTGGGCACGACGACGATGGCGACAATCATGATGTAGATGATGAACAGCAAGAAGTTTTAACTGGCCGCGAATGCCGGGCATTGCGTTTCATAAATATACGGCTGCAGCCAGGGCTTATCAACTTCTGAATTCAAGAAGTCCAGCTGCAAAAACGTAGTAAAATTAAATATTTTGTACTCAATTTAAATATTTTACGCTTTGATTTTGATACACTGCGGTTTATATTGCATTTAAAAAGAAAATATTAATATTTTTAAAAAATTTTCATTTGTCTATTTTCGGAATTGATAAGACTATCTGAAAAAGAAATGATTTTCACATTAATAAAAATTAAATTAATTAAATCATGCCATTTAATATGCATTGTATTAAATATTTTGTTTAAATATTTAATTTTGAATTCAATAATCAGATATTTATTTATATTATAAACATTAAAACAATACTAAATATTAAAAGCCTATATTTTGTAGACTGATATTTAGGACGAGTTCAAATCTTTGGTTCTATAATGTTATTGATAATACCAAACGTTTTTTTTCGATTGTTTCTAAAACATTAAAGTATTACGATCTTGCGAACAATAGCTAAGAATTCATTTAAATATAGTTTCGTTTCTATTCCAATATTTTCTTTTTATGTATATCAAATAGTAGCATTAAATAACTTATTTATTAGGTTCTGTATACTTATGAATCATATTATTCTTCTTTATTGTTTCATAGATCTTCGTTACTTCTTTTAAATTTCTGTACAATAAAAAATATCTTCAGTTTATGAAACGCACTGTATATGCAATCACTTTTGAAGAACATTTCCAGATATGGCCATCTTCTAATTTTGATAATGATAATGTGACTCCGATGCTAATCTTATTGACTTTCGTAACTGTACTAACCACATGTCAGAAGTGAAGAAAAATAAAACATTCATTTTTTTTCGGTTGAGCTTCCACTTACTATATTTTTTGTGGCTGAGGAATTCCTTATCGCAGGGCAAACAATGAAATAATTTCTATGATTCCGAATGGAGTGAAGTGCTATTATTGTTTAGGCATTCGCTCTATTTACTTATTTGTCATGAGGGGACAACTTCAACCTCCCGCCATAGAAAACCAAAGAACAAAATCACAAATTATTCTTGGAAAATTGGCCTCATGGCTTTGGCATGCTGCGGTTAGCTGATGAAACCCAAGCTGAAGCTGAAGCTGAAGCTGAAAACCCATAGAAAACGAACTAAAACGAACAATTGCCCAGGAAGGCAAAGTGTTCTCGGTTCTATATCTTATCGCTCTTACCGGTGACCAAATAAACCGAATGCCGTATGCCGTATGCCGCATGCCGCATGCCGAACACCCCCGCAATTCACGCAAACCAAGCCTGATAAGTCCAAGCGAATGGATTTAGG